ATATTACTGATATGTGCAATTCATTAGAAGAAAATGAAATTATTCATTTTCTCAAAAGAATCTTTTGTGAAATGTATTTCTGGACGAAAAGGCATATTAGTATGCATTCACATCTTTTGTGAAGTTTGGACTTAGTTAAAATCTTTAAAAGAGCAATTTACATCAATTGATGCACAATTGTTACTGCTCTCTTTAACAGACTAAATTGACAATAATTTACAGAGTAAAGTAAATACTCAAGTAAACGGAAAAGTGAGTATACCAGCGATAAACGATAATACAAGGAAAACAATTCGGATAACCAAATTTGATTTAAACAACTTTTTGAGCTACCTCATTAGGCTTCAAAGGCAAACAACGCAATTTCAGGTTTGACCATTGAGGAACGGGAGGCTATCGAGCATGCTTTTCGTGAACAGTTGTTACGTGTAATTTGTGCCACATCAACTCTAAGCTCAGGAGTTAACTTACCAGCTCATCGAGTAATTATCAAAGCTCAAACATGCGGGCCCGTTGCACTAAATGGTTTGACATATAGGCAAATGGTTGGTAGAGCTGGACGTTTAGGACAAGCAACAAAAGGTATCTATAACAAATGATATAAAGATAACGTTATTCTGATACCAAAGATAATATGAATAGAAAGTTGAAGCTTTTTCCAAGGTATCAGTGATTTTCAGTTATTAGTAACTGGAGGCAACTGTGTGTTCAACAGTCTATGTGATTGATTTTTCTGTAATTACTGCAGGCATCTGTGAAGTTTTTCTTTTGCATTTATCATTAGTGGGTGAAATATGTGTTTAAAATTGCGAGCAAATTTTTACTCATGGCTCTATGGCTGCGAGAAAAAAGAACAAGCAGTTTTTAAATAATAATTTCAAGAGCGGCATAAGTACTCGCTCGCGCTAGGTAGTCTATAAATCTAAAGTAATTTACCAGTTGATGAATAAATCGTGTCCTTCGGTAAGCTGAAGTAACATGAAGCATTAGTGTTTTTAAAATTTGCATGGTAAAGTATATCTGAAATTGAAAATTAACTCCAACATTAATTTTTAATTTGCAGTATACATGCAAAAATTTTTCTTAACTCTTACTGGGACGAATTATTAAAATAGTAAGTATTTTATAATTTTAAAATATTAAAAAATAAACTTGTGGACAAAATTTTTTCTAAAGTTATTTTATGATTACATCTAAAATTCTAGTATAATTTGCATGTTTTTGATTGTTGTATTATTATGTGAATAGAGAAATATATATGGAAAGAACCCTTTCAGAATTACAAAGTGGCTTAGGTGAATTGAATGTAATAAATACGACTAATCATCACCTTTCCATAAATTACTTTCACAGCTATTTTTTTCCATATGATAAATATCGACGTTGTTGAAATTCCCTGAGAAAGTTGTCTTACATAGTAGCATATATCTGTAAATAGTTCAATTATTTTGGTTTTAAGGAAAATTTCAGAGCTGAGTCTGGTGTCCACTAATAATTTTGATAAGTACTTCCAGACATCGAGACATCTTTTAGTCACAAGTTGTGTCGTTTGAGAAGTTGAAATAAAATGGAGCACACAGCTTTCGTAACTTTGCATGATTGAGTTCTGAGAGAAACGAATGGACTAACTTATCAAAGAGTTCTAAGCTTAGTTAAATAGAAAGCTGTACCTTTAGCATCAACGATTAAAGAGACAAGCATCAAAATTGTAGAGTTTGAGGAATTAAAAAATCGAGAAATTTATGCTACTTTTGTTGCAGATGAAATTTAGTTTTTTTCGAAGCAGCAGTTAAATTTTATCGACTAATGATAACTGCTGGTGATGGCAGAATTCAAAGTGAAGGGTTGTCTAACATGTCTTGACCTCAGCTTTCTTTCTAACCTTCTTCTCTCGGACAATGAGTGAGCAATAAAATTTTCTATCATAATAAGGGTTAAAGGTCATTTGGAGTGGTAGATCGTGTGAAAAAGAAGGGGAATTAGGCAGTCATTAGTAATAGTTGGTGAAAGTAACTATGGAAGTAACATGATATTTTATCTCCACAGACTCCAATTGTGAGCAAGCTTTCATCTGGTCCATTAATTTGTCATCCTGAAATGGCTTTGCGCCATTAAACTTTCCCATTTGTTGTCGTATACAAGTCTTGAACCTTTCCAAATTTCGATTAAGTTCATCAGCTCTATTTTAAGCAAAATAATATAATAAATGGAGAGCAAACTTGAAACTCGTAGTGATACCTGATTGAATCTTCCCTGTTTCGGTTTTTTGTGTTTTAGCTGAAACCTGTGTAATTACCACGAGATTAAAGTTCATATGCTAAAATGGGATGGTAATGTTTTTTATTTACAGTATAGAATGCAGCAACTTTATTAAATATTACTGTGTTATAGTGAGCGTGCAATCAATGTTACAAATTTGCTAGTAACTAATGATAGAGCATTCATTATTGATGTCAACTAAAACAAAATTGGCTTCCTGACTTGCTTTCTTCGTTTTTCTGAAATTCTTTCATTGATTCATTGATTCAATGAAGTGATTTGAGACAGATTTGATGTGATTCAATGAAGTGATTTGAGACAGATTTGATGTGAGAATACTAAACAAACAGCTTAAATTTGTTCTCACTGCAGCTGTAAAAAAAATCATTTAATTTGCCTATAACTTTGCTACTGCGAGATTAATTTTTTAATGACTTCGGTATTACAGCACATTATATTCAGACATACTGAGTATATTATACAGTATCCTTAGATCCAAGTTTGCTCAATCTTCAAATCTCTTTTGTGCTAACTTTGATAAAACTATTTATGCTACGAGTATGACAAATGAAATACACGACTGTAGTATGCTTAATCTGGTTATATTGCTCCAAGGAGTCAGGAAAATTGTGGTTTTGTAAATCTATTCCTTAATGCCAAAAACAACTTTGTGTTTCAGAACATTGAGATTCTAATGAAAAAATAAAAATTCCCATTAGAAGATTGAAATTCAAAGACACAAGTTTATCTAGAATACAATATATGATCTAGGGACCTGTGACTGATATGATTAGAAAATAGTATTAAAAAGAAATTTTTATGTGAGGAAGAGGTAGATCAAAAACTCATGTGAGGCATTTCTTTATCGAAAGTGTGAAGTTTAGATTTTGTTCAATAAAATAAGATCAACTACAATCCTTTATCATTTATAAATCTAATGTTAGTGTCACCTTATTTTCAAGGATTAGCGTGAGTTTTGTATAATTAGTCTTTGTATGTATTTGTGTTACTCAAATAAGAAATATGAAATGGAAACGGTTACTCCTGGTATAAAACTTTTTTTGAGGAATTAAGGTTCTGAGGTGATTTTAAAAAAAAGTAAGCATCATTCGTTTATTGCTTAATTCAAAAAAACTTGTACAAAATAGGATGATGCTGTTTTTTATTTACAGTGTAGAATGCAGCACTCCTAATTAAATATTATCATGTCTTAATGATTGTGCAATCAATATTACAGTTTTGCAAGTTAATAACGATAAATGCATTAATTTTGATCTCAACTAAAAGTCACCATGATATTTTTAGTTTGTTTTCGTTATAATATTAGAAACTATTGAAAATTTACAAATTAAATAAAATTTGAAAATAGCAGTTAGTTCTATTCAAAAATCATTTCGGTCTAATAGTGTTAATATTCGATATGGTGTATTGTAGATTATCATAATCATACGAACATAACTTTTTAGTGTTAAAACTGAGACTACTATTATTGTTGTTGTCACTATTTCTACTGCCATTATTATCGTTATTATTATCATTATTATTGCTATTATTACTATTTGAAATATCAGGAGAACATCCGCCCATCGATCTATCGTCATCGTTTGATTCCTTATCGATTTCACCATTTTCCAGATGAGCTGCTGCTTCGAGACTTTTCTTATGCATTCCTAATATTAAAAAATGAATAAGTGTTTATAATATTATTAGTTTCGCTTAATTGAGGCGTTGTTCTCTTATTTGCATGCAAGTGTTATGTGTTTAAAAAATATGAAACTTCTATTAATTAAGTAAAGGAGTAACAAATTTCTGTGCAAAGATTGCAAAAATTGCTGTAACATGACCATTATGTAGCGGGTTATTGAAAGAAATGAAGTAAACAGTACGATTTTGGAAATGGAATCTGAAAAGCTCATTTTTTTATTTTTATGATTGAGATTCTAGAAAAAGTAAACTTCGTTTTGGAAATGTGTATAATAAGATTAGGTGAAGAGTGAAAGAAAAGAGAGAAAGTAAAGGAAACATATGGTAATGATTGCATCAGATGCTTGCCGTCAAATTATGTTTAACAGTGTAAGCTATTTCAGTTATGACGCAATAATTATCGAACTAAATGGACTGAAGAACAACGTTACAATTTTATCAGTATTTTCAAACCAAAAGAATTTGATAAGTTTGAGTTTTTAAGTATGAGAAAAGTGATACCGAAAAATACCTAAGAGCCAAGGAGCAGTAGATTCATTAGGATTTTCAGAGGAACGTGTTATCGTTTCTGGCAGTGGTAAAGAATGTCTGACCATTGCTCCGTATAATCCATATTCTGCCATAATTGTACTTTTGCCCCATGTTTTCTCGGTCTTTCGCCATTTAGCTCGACGATTTTGAAACCAAACCTTTTTTAAAGGAACTTTTCAGAATTTCAAATCAAAGGTAAAAATGAGCATGAAGTAGTAATGAGATATGAAAATTTAAGAATTAAGAAAGCAGTGATTACTTGTATTCGATCAACGGCGATTTCAGTCTTCACCGCCAACATTTCACGAGCATACATATCAGGATAGTGTGCTTCCTGAAAAATTGGAAGCTAGATGAGAATGAGCGGTAGTAGTCTTGTGCATACCTTTTTATTTAAAATGTTTATGGAAAATGGAGAGAATGTAAATGTCGAAAATTTTAAAAATTAGTCATGGTCATTGAGCCCTTGATTTAACGATTGTTCTTGGACATTCACTGGCTGAAAGGGTTGATTTTTCTACCAATCTAGTTTTAAGCAAAGTTTATAAGTAAATATTTTTAGCGCAGGTAAGGTAAGCATATTCCTTTATTTATGAATAAATGAATAAATGTATTAACTGCAAACGTATAATGCTCTAAAATTCGCAAAATAATAGAGTTCTCTGTTTGTCACTTGCAAGTAAATAAATTTAACAATACCTGGAAAGCTTTTTCTAATTCATCCACTTGAAACTGCGTGAAAATAGTTCTGTGACGGCGTTTCTTCCGTTTCAAATTGTTTTCTTGATTACTAGATGACGGGACATTTGTGATAGCGGTTGTGCCAAAAAGAGAATTAGATCGAAGGCTAGTATAATCCATTCCAGGTATTCCTGTCTTATCAGTTACAGTGATAAAGTAGTGACTAGTTTGTAACTTACAACCAAATTCATGAAATAAGGTGTTGATTGAAAATTATCAAAAACTATTAGAAAACTGTATTCTACATTGCTGTTAATGTATTATTTTCAGCAAGCCAATTATATGGCTTGTCTTCCAGTAAATATGAAGCGTTCTGTTTACAAGGTTACATATAAGAAAGTGAAAATGTATTTAAATAACTGCAGTATTACAGTACTGCTGTGTAGACTTATCAAGATAAATGTGATACAAAATGTTTTGCTACCTTGATTAATTGGTTCATATTGGACTCGATCAAATGTAGTTTGGGGTACGTCCATAGAAAATAACTGTTGCGAGTTGTGAGACAAGAATGATCCTGTTTGATGAACGCAGTATTGAGGTGTTGCGGTTATATAAGTTGCTGTACTTTGTTGCATATCACGGGCTGCAGCTAAGCCTAACAAACTATGTATTCCAAACGACATTCCCATCTAATGAACACTATAATATAAAAAGAGTAAAATAATGATTGGAATAAATCACTATTAGTGGACAATATTATGATTTGCCGTATAGTACTGTAAAGTTTATCCGCTATACAACGAAACCTGTTAGTTTCTCCATGTTCTAAGCAACTTATAGTAAGCACTTGACATTAAGATTGCAACTTTCTCATAATTTGTTGCTTTGAGTGAAGGGGATATTACGTTATAGATATTTGAGATTTTATAAATGGAGAATTGCCCACATACTTACTCACGCACACATCTTCACATACTTTCTTGGAACTGAGGTGCTGTCGGTAGAATGGGAAACACCGTCACCGCCCTTATCAATCTTTCATTACCGTACACTAAGAGTGTAGTTTTAAAGGGAGGGGCAAAATCAGCCAACTGAATTATAGCGTGCAATATGTTAGCCAATCAAATTATTTAATCATTTGTTGTCTAATTTAAGGAAGTACTTACTTTAATGTCTATGTATGTGTGTTCAAACCATAAAATTTTCAAGAAAAACATCACAATTAGATAAAAAAAATAGATCTGTTGAAGTTTAACTATCAAAAACGAAATGGGTCACTACCTAAAATATTGTTTTTTTTTGTTAGAATTTAGCAATCCCTGGTAATACATGATGAGGACCATATTTTTGGTATTCAAGAAAGTAGCTTATTAAAAATTGTATTAAGGAACTTTTGCTGTAGACCTAATTTGGTGGCATAAAAACTGCAATGAATTTCAAAATAGTTTTCAATATTTAACAAAAGTAGGAATTTTAGTGAATTAAATGACATTCTTTGAGTCCTAAATGAATTAGTTATTGGTTTAATTTGTTAGAAGCATATATTTCAGGCAGTTAAAGACACGTTTAGTCTAGATTGATTTTTAAAGTTTTTCATAGCAATGATCTCATTCACACTAGTGATTGTCTGAATAAAATATAAATAACCAGTAGCTGTAATTTGTGGTTCTGATTAAGTGTTTTATAAGTAATGAGTATATCTTCAACGATATATTTCAAAAATAAAAATGTTAATTCTTTTAAAATATGAAGTTTTAAAAAGCCCAAATGACATTTTGAAAAGTAAATTTGAAAGAGATTAATAATAAAGAGATTGAAGAGATTAATAATCACAACAATATATACTTATTTACTCAACATAAAATGTCAGCCAATGTTGAAAATGTAGTAAATTGAATTGACTCCTCTTTACATCACTTCTTTGACTGATATTCTTTTTCGGGTCGTTATTTCAATTCATCAAGCAAAGTACCACCCGAAGTAAACCATAATAGTCTTTCATGCGTTTATTTACAGCCTAGTAAACCTCTCAATGCCCAACTCCTTTTTATTTAATACTTTTTAGGAAGGAAAAATTTTACATTACAAGTTCTACTCGTCTGCTTCCTTCTCATGCAAATTGCGTTTGTCTATTTGTAATGTGGAAAATTTAGTTGATAGTTAGTGTTGTTTGAGTCCAGTATTTGATGGTTTTCAAAAATAACATACTAAGTTGCTTCGAACGATTGATTCAATATGCGCTTCAATTTTTACGTATATATATATATATATTAGCATCTACTGAGGTACAAATTTTTATTGCAATTAATGTCTGCACTATAGTATTTGTATAACTTATTTGTTTTTCGAAATCAAACAAGCTTGAACTTTTTTAAAATTAGCTTCTTAAGGCTGTCAAAGCTGTCCCAGATAAAAGTGCAGCTCATATGATAGCAAAAGTTTGATTTTAATGATAGTGCTGTAGAGTGATTTTTTTAGGTGAAAGTATAGTAGTATGTAGCAAAAATCAGTTAGATTCCGTTCTCCGAATCATTCACAATAAAGTAGTTTTTGATACCAGATCTATGACGAGAAGGCGGCGAATAAAATTAATAATCGAGGTAAGTTTGTTTTGACTATTTTTCTTGCTTTTAATAACTCATTCATTACTTTAAGATTACTCTTTGTTCCGATCAGTCTGAATCCATGCCATTCAAATTTCAATCACTTTTTGTAAGAGGGAATGTATATAATTTTAGGCGGTATGCAGTGGTCTGTGTAAAACGGAGAATGAACTGAAGAAGTTATTATCTTTATTGTTCTTCGAAAATGATCATTCATTAGCAGATGAGCTAAATTTTCTTATCAATAGAAAATTGATTTGTTGTCAGAAAGGTATGAATTGTAGGGATATATTATTAAAAATAATATTGCTCAATGTAATAATTCAAATCATACAGTACTATTACAAATTATGACTTGAAAAAATTTTTTAATCTTTAATCTGACGCAGTAATTTTCAAGCCATAGTGAAATAAAGTTAGCAAAAGTTTTGTTCCATATAACTTCTTTCTGTAGTTCTAAAAAATTTAGATGATGATGGAATCAAGGAATTACGTGGAACTCAACTTGGTCGGGCTATATTTGCGTCATCATTAGCACCTGATATTGCTTTACAAGTTTATGCTGATCTTGAGAAGGCTATGCGTTCACTAGCATTGGATACTGAACTCCATTTACTGTATTTGGTAATTTTTGTTGCTCTGGTGATTACTGAAAAGCATGAGTGAATAAATTTCTTTCATCTCAAATTTGTGTAGAGCAACTCAGTAACCGAAAACTTAATTGCATGTTGAGGAAATCAGTTTGTATATTTTTGTAATTTCATCGACTGAATGTGTCAGTTTGTTTAATTAACAATTTTAGGTGACACCACTGTATAACGATTCAATCTGGGTAAACTACATTGATTGGAATGTATATTACAAAATTTGGTGCAAGCTACCTGTCAGATTGCAAAGGGTGGGCAAATTAGTTGGTGTTTCAGAGAGCTTTATTATTGGAAAATTACAAGGTAGACAAGCGACAGACGTTAGCAGTTTGCAGGTTTACTATTTTTTCTAATGAATTTTGCTTATTGAAATAACATATTCATATATATTGGAATGAAGGATGTTGAGTTTGCAATATTTTCATTTATATGCAGATTAAATGGATTTCAAGTATTGCCAGAGTTATACAGTACAACTTATCGTTAAAAAATGCAAATATCTGAAAAAAATATTGAAACGTTTGTACTTTTTTTCGTACAGTGATTGTTCAAAGTTGTCATTTTCTTGCACTGAGCTCTTCTAATTTATTACAGACTAGATTTGAATGACTAAATGGAACATGTTTTGTTTTAGGTACATTTAAGATTCCTTTCTGCTTTGGCACTTTTTGATTTGATTAGGGAAAAGCCCTTAAGTAGTGTTGCTCATCGTTTTCATATCAATCGTGGAGCTTTACAAACTATGCAGCAACAATCTGCAACATATGCACGTAAGTTACAAACCATAATCGAATATCAATGCTCTTCTGAGATGTAAAGTATTGCGTTAGAATGAAATTCAACATTTTTGAATATACTTTTGGTGTTTACGTTTAAATCCTCAATTGCTACTGGAGTAATCTGTCAGAAAAAGAAACAATGACACGAATAGCTTACTTGTATTCGAATTCAAAACAGCACTATATGCTTACTTTATTATTGCAGTTATAGTTGCAATCAGTGTAACGAAAGTATAATTAATATCAATAATCAGTGCAATTATTATTGTTATCTCGTCGCGTATTTATTTAGTAGCATTAGCAATAGTAGTAATAAGCTTTAAGCAAGCAGCTACTATCGATGTCCACCTCATTTAGTATCCAGTCATCAAAGAAAATAAACGTTGACTAAGCGGTTTTTTCCGCTCTTCATTATGCAAGGAAAGAAGGAAAAACCGCTTAGTCAACACGACGAAAAGTGGAATCGTCAAGTGCCTCATTAGAACACGATAGAGTAGAGTTCAAGTTCTAGAAGGGTCTAACATACCCTTAGGCAATTAATTAATTGCCTTTGTTATCTGCTTTTAATAACTTCTCCACATCTTACAACAGATAAGTCTCTTATAATTTTCTTTTTGGTCATCGAAATACCGTAATTCAGCTCCAATTTCGAAAATTTTCTGCAAAATTATAGAATAATTACTTCCCCTCCCACTTTATTCTTCTCTACGATTTTCTTGGCAAAATAAATTTGATAGTCGTATGATGGAAGAATAGAGAAAATTGGCTAAATTAGAAAATGCTGTGATCATTTTGGATGAATTTAACATAAGGACGGGAGAAAATTACTTTTTCTGGTGGTAAAATTAAAGTTGGTAATAGCAAATGTAACTAACTGCAAAGAAGAACAGAACAAATTGTGGTAATTGAGAAAATTTAATTGCTAAAGTAGGCATTAATGTTTACAATCATCACAAGATCAGCGTCGAATATTGGCTCTTACACAGCTATCATAAGTAAAGAAGTGATGACAGGAGTAATTAAGTTTTGATAATGATAGTGAGCGGTGAAGTTCGGGTAGTTTGTGACTGATAAGCACTTTTTTACTTGTAACAACATGTAGAAGATAAATGAAGAATCTCTTTCTAGCAGTGCTGAAGTGAGATCAGCCTAATTATCGTAATCATTACTGCTATCACATTCAAGTTCCCGCTATCATTACTGAATCTAATTACCTCTGCGAATACTTTACTCATAATGGCTCTATAACTGCCAATATTCTACACTAATCATCATAATTGTATTTTTCTTCAAATTTTCAATGTGACATCTCGAATTCCAAGCTTTTCAATATATATATATATA